AAAGGCTATCACCCAGTGAGACACAAGATAGAAATCCAGTGTGGAGGTGACATTTTAACCTGTTTGTTGTTAACCAACAGGAGCCATCAGCTCAGATGAACGTCAAATCATCAGATCTCCACCTGCTACCCCTCTCTATTTACATCATCAGAACTCTACCTGCATCTTCTCATCCTAGAAAGCGAATCCAGCAAGCCATTGAGGTTACCAATGTTTTCTTGCCTAGTTCTATTCTGCATTTCTGTAAAGGCTCAGCCTTTACAGCACTGAGCATCAGTTCAGCAGATTGTATGCCAGTGCTACCGGCTGGAGCAACTGGGGAGGGAGCCAGACACAGGAGCTGTATAATACATACAGTGAATCTTCAGATGGCATGAAAAAGGTGTTTGCTTGCCATTTCATGACTTGATAAATACCTCAGTCTGTCATTGGCTTTTATGACAACAGGAAGAAGTAGGCTTTGTGCCTCAAAATGTAGTCTGTCTAGAAGCTCCATTTGCACAGGGCTGTTCACTCCTCTGGGGACAGTGTATCTCCCACTCAGCATGAACAGAGTTACCTTCACCATCTCTATCTAGCAATACATGGTTAAAGCACTCACCTTCTATCTTACTTGCAGGGTGAGATTGAAGTGTGAGGAGGAAGCATTTCCATGGATTATTCTCCCAGTGGTGGTGTGGGCTTGCCAGCTCCAGGCAGACTCTCTTTCTCCCTCTCCATCATGCTTTGGTGCAGTAAGACATGTGCTTCTGTGAAAGAACAGTGGACTGAATCTCAGTGGAAAGTAGCCCTTCAAAAATAGCAATTTTTTAACTGAATCATTTTCCAAATCACACTCTAAAATTACTTCCTTTCCTGGCAAGCTCCCGGCAGTTCACAGGCAAGTGTGGATTTGGAGGCTGCAGGTTTCACAAGAGCTGCATTGATCCCATTCTGCAGACACTCGAAAAATATTGGTAACAAGTCTGCATCCATCTGTCCACGCATCTCTCCATCCACCCCTCCCCTCTGTGGTAGTAGGAACCTCAAGCCGCTTTGATTCAAGCCTGGGAAGACTAGAAAGCCAGCTGTTGTAATCTTTTTACATTTCAGCAGAGCTTTTTATTTTGTTTCTCTCAATATCCTTCTGAACAAAATAGACAGTAGTTCAATAGACAAAGGTATAATGCAGTGGATGAACAATTGGCAGCTAGATTCAATCAGCTCAAAGAGTCATAGTAAATGCGGTTATTTCAGGCTGGTCACCCGTCACTAGTAGGGTTCCTTGGCACTCCACTTTAGTGCCAGTTTTCTCTGTTTATAAGTAATCTGGAGCTATTGACTCCTTTGAGGGTAGAGAGGTCTTGCAGAGAGATCTTGGCAAATCAGTAGGCTGGACAGTCACCAACTGCATGATGTTTAACAAGAGCAGTGCCAGAGATGGGGCAGCCCTGGATACGCGTACAGACTGGGGGAGAAGCTGAAGCCCCTGGGTTTGCTCAGCACAGAGCAGAGGAGCTGAGGGGAGGCCTCATGGTGGCTGCAGCTCCTCAAAGGGAGTGCAGGGCAGCACTGAGCTCTGATCTCTGTGACAGCGACAGGGCCCGAGGGAACGGCATGGAGCTGTCAGGGGAGGGTTGGGTGATCAGGGAAAGGCTCTGCCCCAGGGGGTGGTAGGCATGTCCCAGTGCTGGAGCTTAAGGAGTGTTTGGACATCGCTCTCAGCCATAGGGTTTGGGGTCAGTGATCTTTGCAGGTCCTTTCCAACTTGGGATATTCTGAGATGCTATGACTGACTATGGGGACCACGTGTTCAAAAGAAGTTTGCACAGAGCAACTCTTACCTCTTTCATCATGATAGAGAGGGAGGTTTTTTTTTTTTCCGAAGAGCTTCTCTTTTTTCCTCAAAGTTATTGTCAAGAGGAATGGTAGGCTGCATCACACTTTCACTGCCTAATTGGCCATTAAGACCTTTCAGAAATTCTACCCTTGGCTTGGAGAGCTGAAGGATGTCAATCTGTTCTGAAAAGCTTGGCCTGGGTTGCATTGAACAAGATGAGCTTTAAAAAAAGAAAAAAAGGACATCATAGTTGTTTCTCATGGAGTTTTAGAAAGCTGTATTTCCATTGTTAAGTGCATTAAAAGCCCTTGAAATGCCTAGACACTAACAGACTTCCCTACGCAAAGATATAATAGAAAACTAATTAGCAAAACAAATAGGAAGATTACCCACCAGAGTGGAAGGTTTGGCCACAAAATGTGAGGTTTTATGCTGCCAAAGACTGAGATGAAAATAACTCATATGAATGCAAAACAAACCGCACAAGATGCTGGGTGCCTTCAGCTTCCATTGGCTTTGTTGGCAAGTAAGAGTACATCAGCATTTTCAGGATGCTCATAGCAGGGGATAGGATCACACCTTTTGAAATTGGCTAGCAAGCCAAAACTCACATGTACTTGACTCCTATTTCTTGCCGTGACTTGATTTTGAGTTTGGGAACAAAGGAAAGGGTTCTCAAAGGATTCTTGAGTTTATCTTATCAATTTCTTCAGCTCTGCTCTGACAATAGTGCTCCAGATGGGATAACAAGGTTTTACACAGCACAGAATCATCTGATAAATGTTTCAGCCTCAAGTCTCAAGACTGATTGTATGCTATAGCCCATAAAATGAGTTGGTTTTAACTTCACAGGCTACAGTAGCTAACACGTATCTTCAAGACAAGCTGTCTGTCTGCCTGTTTTCTCTGTTCTCTGTCCTCCCCCCAGAAGTTCACCCCAACACAGTTAACAGACAAGAGAGTATATATGGCCATTCAGGTTACTGCTCTGGTGTTTTGTTTCAAAAGCCATCAAAACACTTCCTGAGGAAGAACTGGAGTTAGGAATGTCTAAGGTTCCATGTAAACAGTCTCTTGCCTTTGCGTTTTGCATGTCTTTCATTATCTCAATCTGTTCTAGTTCTAAGTATCAGGAAGGAAAAGTGAAGAAGAATGCCATTATATTTCATGTACTTTGGTAAGCATCCAGTTAATCAAAAACTGAAAAGTGATTTCATTGACATGTGTTACAAATCAGAAACTAAAGAATATTGGACTGCATAAAGAGTAAAGGAAAAGTATCTGCACAGTATTCACAGCTACAGTAACATTTACAGATGCATAATTTATCTTTGGTCATCATCAGTTTAGAAAATCTGACTACTTCAAATCAGCCATACACTTGAGGTCAGAAACTGTACTGCACATTTATTTCATGAAGCCAGAGACATCTCCACATAATTACCTGAGACTATTCCATGTCAATATCGTGGTTAAAAGCTTCTAAATTAACCAATTGCTTTTTTTCTTCTCAGCACATATTTGTTGCGACATCAGTGGGAACATACAGGGGTGAAGCTTGAAACCAAGCATCCATCCATCTGTGGAGGTTTTAGTACCACTGAGGTCAAAACCAGTGGACTTGCTAACGTGGGTGCAAGTCATACGGTCAAAGCATGGGTAGGAATCTAATGATTTCGTCCACACAAGAGGAGAACCATTCCCTTGAAAGGTTCAACAGTAGCTAGGCTGTTTTAAAATGCCATAATAAATGGTATTCTCTACTTGTGGGACATGATATTCAGTGTTACAACCTGTTTCCAGACAATGGTTTAATTAAACATTTAATGAACGCATCTCATTTCTTTGCACGAGCTCCACTCTAAACAACTAAGCTAATAACATAAGCATCACAGTTGGATTATTAAAATGAGAGTCTTCATGAACGCCGTCCCCCTGGCAAACAAAATGGCTGATGCCGTGCAGAGGAAGCTGGGTCCCAGCGAACCCACAGCGCAGTGACCCAGTTTTAACATGAAACCAGATTGATGGCTGACCATCAGCATTTAAAAAATTGCTTGGCAAACAGTTTTAAACAGTGATTTTTTATTCAATAAACAGTTATTTTATTCAATTAATTAAGCAATTCATTTAAACATCGATTGCCTTTAGGAGTTTTCCCTAATTAGAGATTCAGCACCAGCTTCAAAATATTTCCTCAAACAAACTCTGGTACCCGTATCAAATCGACAGAAACTGGGACCTTCCTTAAAGGCAAAGTCACGTGAGGACTTGCATCCAGAACTCACTCTGAGTTTGTCCAGCAGTTAGCTGCTTACAAAAGTTAGCTGCTTACCGTGCATTCTCATGAAGAACTTTAATTAAAAAAAATTTATATAGACTTTTTTTTTTATCACCCCATAGCTAAAAAAAAAGAAAAAAAAAAAAAGCATTTTTGCAAAACGGTGACAAATCTCAAGAGTTAAAAACCTTAAGAGAAATAAGTTGTCAAAACATTTTGAAAATCTGACAAAGCTTTAATTCTTACAGGCTGCGATTCAGTGACACTCAGAATATCGTCTTTTCAGTGCTGGAATAGCCAAGCCATGTTCTTTATTGCTTGAGTTTATTTCTTTCGTAAGAAACTTCTTTCTTCACTCTAAGCTTCTTCCATTTCTTGATGGAAATTCACAAGAGCATTTCCTATCTATTATGCAATTCCAATCAGCATCCCACCAGTGGCATCCTTCCAGAGGCAGCTCATCACCCGAAAGGAGATGTATGGTCCATATCTGACCAATTACATCACACTTGTTTTGATGGGGTCTTGATTAGACCTGCTACACTTTCTCACTTCTCACTTCTTTTGTCCTTGAGATCTGCAATGACTTGCACAGCTACTGAGTTTGTGGTTTACTGGCTTAATTGTTTTATTTTTATTTGGTTTTAGATTTATAGTGGTACACCACTGATACTTTGAAACAGCAGCCGCATTTTATTGAGGGCTACACATGACATCAGTCCTTTTGAGACTGAAAATCTTCTCCAGTACTTCTGCTTGGACACACTCCTTCCACCTCTGCAAACAAAATGCTTTAACACAGAAGCAAGAATGGCAAAGAACTTACGATTAAGCCCATCAGTGGCTACCGAAACATGACAGTCGAGTACACTGTAAACTAAGTTGTTCCATTTGGAACAGGCTGCCCAGGAAGGCGGTGAGGACCCGTTCCTGGAGCTGTTCGGGAAACACGGAGCTGTGGCGCTCAGGGTCCGTTTGCACTCTCAAGCCCCCGCTGGCAGGGCTGCCATTACTCCCATCCTCTTTGCAACACTTTACTGGCGTGAGTTACAAGCAAAGAAATCCAGCTACCGAGAGAACAGAGTCTCTCGGGAAAGGGGCTGCGGTTCTTCCTGCAGTCCAATGGACAGCGGAGGCTGCAGCGAGCGTCCTGCAGAAACGCCTTGGAGAAAAGCGACCTTAGAGCCGCAGGCTCCAACTAAGCTAGAGCTCGGTACCGGCAACGCGACCGGTCGCGGCGCTGAGTCTAACTTTGCGCAGCCCAGAGACTGGAATCAGAGCAGCTCCTCGAAACGCCTGCGATTCATTCGCTCCCTGCGCAGAGCGGCTGCCCCGAAGCCGCCTTTTTTGGCGCGGGGCAGCGGCACGAGCAAAGCCGCCCGCGAGGCCACGCGCCCCACAGCCCGCGAGCCCTCCGGCGCTTGGGGCGGGCCCGGGCCGGACGGCGGACCCCCGCGGGGGCCGCGACGGAGCCGGCCCGCCCCGTCCCGTCCCGCCCCCGGCACGGCGGCCCGGGCCCGT